ATATATATATATACACATGCATATCATCCACACACACACACACGCGCAGTGACTGTTGTGCAAGCAGAACTGGCTCTTGGCATGATCTGTGAGGCCTGCGTGTGACTGAAGTTGATGCAGCAGCTTGCTGAGCGACACCTGTACCACATGCAGGCCGACAAGCTCACTAGCGTTGCACATGCTTCGGCTAGATGCAGATCTGGGATGACTGGGATGTTTGGACATCACAGACAGGACCGCTTTAACATGTTAACTTTTATAATGTTACAGGCTAATTTTAAGACATCCCACGACTGTGTCCTGCAAGCTGTACGTAGGCCGATTTAATGACAAGGGGGTACCTCACTGTGCGATGTGATGTCTCGAAAGGAATCTTGATGTTTCAAAAAGAAGCCTTCTCCTTGAGAGCCATCAGTTCGCACCTTCGATGTGCTACCTTGATCTTCCACGGATCTTGCACATGTCCTGGCACCGTCTGGGCTCGCCAGCTAGAGTAAAGCCTGTCCTTGTGGTGCCGAAGACTGCGCACACTGTAATCTTGAGTGGCTGCACCTCCGGATGTGCACATCCATGCCAACACCTGCAATCCATCTCCTGCTGCTGACGGGACATCCGACAGAAGTGCGAACTGCCAAGCACAGTGACTTGTTCAAGCTAGCCGGGCAGAATTGCCAAGGCCGGAAGAGTAAATGCCGGAGCAAGCCAACGCGTCAAACTGGTGGGGCTGCTGCATCACAGTTAGGCTGCCCCTTGTGCATCCAGCTGGTAGTGACTTGCTCGAACCTCAACATAACCTGACCGCGCAGCTTTAAGGCCCAAGTTATATGAAGTGGGCCGCATTGTTTCGTGCAGTACCAGCGCTTTGGGAGGATGGCTGAAAGACTTGCAAGCTTGATCCGGAGTTGAGTGCCTGTGATTGCTCCTTCTGAATAACCAATTCTTCAACAGCTCCTTGGCCTGGTCTTGTCACAGTCCGCCCGATGTTAAGCACGTGCCGCAGAAGAACCTGTGCAGGAGCATGTCCGCTCCGAATGCCCTGTGCCTAGCCGCGCTCAGACGCTATCGATGTTACACAAAACAGGGGTCAGGTCCAGGTATTGCTTGATTCTCTGTTGCATCGTATCCATTTCAAGCCATTTTCCGTGTGAGAAGGAAGTCGAGGGTAGGCAGTCCTGGGTGAGGGACAGAAGGACTTGTAAGTGCTGAGGACGGACCTGATGGCTACAAGCTGTTCGTTGGAAGCCTACCCTCAGCCGATGCCTCAATGTTCTCAAGAGCCAACTCATCGTGTCGACTCCTGTGATGTAAACAGTGCATCCAAGGATTGCACATCAGAGGAGCTACATTCAGTGTTCTCAACTTACGGCATAGCATCTTGGCAGAGACCAAGACATCAGTGCGGAACTGTCTCTAGCAAGTCCTGCAGCTGACAAGTCTGGTTGGGCTTTTAGAATCCAGGAGAAGACGTCATTCATGCCACATTCCCGCTGCTTTGTCCGAGCTTCTGAGCGGATGTCGGGTGGAAGTGATCACGTAGGCAAGCGGTTCGGCCTCCATTGATTTGGTAGTGTGCCGCTGCAAGAGTTTTCAATTCTCTTCTTGCCTGGTGGCTTCAACTGACATTCCTCTCTCGTGCTGGATGCTGCCCGGGCTAGGTAAGCCATGTCCACGTGCCGCCGCCGCAGTTTGCTGGGATGTGCTGTAGAGTTTTTCCAGAGTGTGCCGGAGTGTGTGTTGCTTGGCTGGAGTTCGCACTGTCGTGTAAACGTGCCGAACTGCCAGATGATGAATCCGCACCCAAGATCTGGCCAAAGGCCCTGGGCTGGCCTTTGGAAGTAGATGTGACCAGGACTAGGACTAGGAGTTCTCTTGGCCCTGGCTGCTGATGGCTTCGTGAGACGGGTGTGCGACTTGCACTTTGGAGGTGTGCCTTCCTCTCTTATTCGACTAAGTCTGCTGGCGACGATGCATGCAAAGCAGGGTCGCCCAGAAGGGCGCACTTTCTTGTTTAAAGCCTGAATCAGGTACAGGCTGTGCAAAATGATTGTCGTACCGAGGTGCTGGACAACCAGTACAAGATAAGAAGAGATGCGCCGCATCCGATTGTAGTTCGATGGGCCAAGGACAGACTGGCCCACAAGACTTATACTTGTTGTATCCACCGACACGCGAAGGATTCTGGCTACGAGCCGAATGGCGCAAAAGCAGCAGGCAAAGGACGCAGTGGCCTGCGGAAGAGACTTTCGTAGTAGAGTCAGTGGAAATATGTAGGGAAATCCCAAACTTAGCAACCGCGGAAGAACGCCTCGCACTGCCGTATACCGCACCCCCATCGTAGCCCTCTTGCTTTAAGCAGGTGATTGGGAGAGCAGCCATTGCCTCAGCCCGGCCCAGGGAGGCCCTGCGTTTTGCGCACTGCGCATTTGAGGCCAGGCAAAGAAGGCGGAGGCATCTCCAGATGGCACGGGTCTCAAAGTCTCGCGTGGCAACATCGGTCCCCTGTGACCAACTGCCAGAGGCAGTAGTCACCAAGCCAGAGTTTTCAGCGGAGCATTGAAGTCACGATCCGTCATGATTTTCGTCAGCAGTGTTTGCTTCTTATTGTGTGCATATTGGGTGCCCCTGCGAAGCAGTTCTCTGAGTGGATTCTCGTGCAGAGCGCAGAGACGTTTCAATCGTCACTACTAATTACTAATCATTACCATACTGGACGTGCCTTGTACGGTTAGCTCTATCATGTTCATGACATCCTGCTCTGATTTCCAGACGCCAAGTCAGCGCAACGAGGACCAGAAGAGATGCATAACATGCTGGGGGAACCGGGTCAGAAGGATCAGGTGGTGTGCCATCGATTGACAGTGCCAGAAAACAGTGCAGACCAGATGCTGAGGCGAATGTAATCGGGAACCATGCAGGTTTTGTGAAATTCACCAGTACAATGAGAAAGGCAGACGTGATCGCTGCTTCAGGGACCTGCTGTCATGCCTGCCTGGATGCCTTGGGGATGCGTTGTGGAGTGTTGCTAAACGTTGTCGGTGGTTTACCAGTGTCTGCATTCAGGCGTGTGATAGCAGCTTCACATTTACAGTCGGCGGCTGGGGTTTGCAGTTTGCACAGAGGCTGAAAGGGCTGGAAAAACATGCCTCTCTGATTGCTGCTTTTCAGTTGACAGTTGACATTAACATACCAGCTCCTCAAGCTTCTCATACCGAAAGACGCATTGCTGTCACAAGCCTTTTCTGTGGTTCTGTGCCAAATTCCTTTGTCACTGCCGGCGCGCTGGCGTCACTGGCTTCCAAGTTCCTGAGCTCCCGTCCGAGTCCGTGGAAATTCTACCTTTGACCTGTGAGAATTTCTGGACCCAGATGTGATTTTTCTCGTATATTCCCCCATCATCACCGCTGTGCCGCGGATCATGGCATGTGGAAAGAAGCCACCTACAAGGTGGCACAGCATTCTACCAACATTCAACCCCTGCATCAATAAGTTATTCGTGGAGCTCCTGGAGAGATGCGTGGGGGAAGACCGAGAGTTGTCAGTGCTCTTAGTCTGTGCTTGGGACTGCCTTGCTTTACATCAATCCTCAATCAGTCGCAATGCAAGCAGTATGATTCGATGATGCTGCTGGTGCGCAATGGGTGTTGACGCCACACTGGCTGATCTCATTTCCATCCATGAGTGCACGTGTCGGGGAATCCCGTCTCGTGGCAGTTGCAGAGCATGGATTCTTCAAATCAGAACATACATGACGGAGTAGCTCGTAGCCGTAGCCAATTGGAAACCTGCCATGTAGTGCCTGCGGACGCTGCCATGCGGGAGCCAAACAAAATCACGGATGGTGGCATGTCATGGGGCAGGGGCGAATGGCATGTGGTTCCGCGAGAGCTAAGGTCACAAACTTTTTGTCGGTGGCCTTCCTCACGATGTTTCGGAAGAAGAGCTGAGAATAGTGCACCTCATCTGCAGCTGGAAGGCTGGAGAGGCCTGCGTCAAAGCTTTCTGACAGGTTTGACACATATGGAGTGGTCCAGCCTGCAACTCAGCACGTGCGGTCTCATGCTTGAGAAAAACCACGGACAGCAGTGATCAGGGCATGCGTTGCCTGGTTTTGTTCGACTGCGCGCAAAGTTGCCGTGGCTGCTCTTTGGCACATGCTTCCCATACAATATGGGGGGCCCCTTGAGCGCAGCAGAAGGGGTCGCTCCCCTTCTCCACCCTTGCGAGAGAGAGCGAGAGAGAGAGGGAGGGAGTTGCCCTTTAGCCCACAGCCCTGGCGAAAGAAAGAGCGGGTGGGAGAGGAAGAGAGCGAGAGGAACCGACCCTAAAATCTGCCCACTTGGATGGCCGGTCGAAAATCAAGTCTTCGAGTCTTCTGCAATTTCGGCCCAGACGCTCACTCGCTCCCAAAGGTCCACAAATAGCTGCGGGCTTGACGCCCGGCAGGATTAACTCGCCCCTTATGCCTGGAAGAAGAAGGCCTACCGACAAGAACCAGGGCACGACATCGCAGAGGGTGTGGGAGGGAGGGAGGGAGGGAGTAGTCACAGCACCACGCACCTGCTGAGAGGTCATGTTTTACGCTGATGGCCTTTGCTGTTTACATTTGCAGGGGGTGACAAGTGTG